ACTACTGGGAAGACCAAGGCGTATGTGAGTGGACAATAGTAAAATGGATCTTAGAAAGACAGGTTGAGATGGTATGGTTTGAATTGATCTGGCTCAAGATAGGGAACAATGGAGGGCTCTTGTGAACACGATAATGAACCTTCGGGCTCCATAAAATACTGTGAACTTTTGAGTAGCTGCAAAATTGGCGGCTCCACAAGAAGGGCTCAGCTCAATAAGTAAGTGCACATACCTACAAGAAAACACACAGCATCTTAAACGTCGGCTGAGCAATAAAGTGCAGGAAAACAGTCGCTGTTTATACTGAGAACCAAATAAAACCTATATATATATACTCGTATACAAGACAGGCGAAATGTCAAGTTAGTCGACGGTTAAGCACATGGTACATATAATTAGCCCTGCCCTTTATCTTTCTCATTTTTAGAGATGCGGATATCCATTACTCACCTGAGGAATGCGGCTTCTGACATCTAGTGTCAAACATCTGAAATCGCTGGCTGAAATGGCACAGCGTATTCGTGGCACCGAAACATTTGGCACGGATCGGAGTAAGCAGACAGGTTGGGACCAAACCTGCGAAAGAAGAGAAAGAGTTTGACAGTAGAGTCAGATGTACTCACCACATCGCTACTGCTTCGCTAATAAGTGAGCCAGTTTAAACGAGTCTGTATGAGAGAGCTCTTCATATTCCCTAACGATAGAATTACGGGTATCTACGCATACAGCTAATTAATCCAGCTATAAATCACATTTTATATACAGCACAGCCTAGGAGTATAACCGCACTGTTCTTTAGTAATCCACCAACTCATGTACATGGCCGCACCATAGCTCAAGCGATTAGTCGCCGGCTTCCCACCGCGGCGGCCCAGTTTCGATCCCGGGGTTTGGTCAAGTGGGATTTGTGATGGACAAAGTGGCGCTGGGGCGGGTTTTCTCCGAGTACTTCGGTTTCCCTAGCCAATCTTCATTCCATCAAATTCTCTATCACAATAATCACCAAGGGCAGGCTACAATAGGCCAATCAGTGGCCTTCGTGCCGAGTAGACCTAGTTGGACTCCACCCCCCACTAAGTGAATTAAGAAAAATTCATGTACATGGAGTTGCCGGGGTGTAATGCACTCGTACAATTAGAAACTGTAATATAAACAAAATTCATAGATTTTCTTAATGGTTTTAATATAAAGCAACAGAAAAAGATAAATTTATCCCTGTAAAAGGCTGTGGAGGCCCACAGGGTTGTGAGACGTCGACGATCCCACATTTTCTCTAGATAATCGGCTCACAGATGGCGGTAAGGTTGTCGGCTTTACGCGCCGGCCGGCTGCTCTTTACTCCCCAGGAATATTCCTGGTACTCATTTCTGTCATGGGCTGAATCGACCCCAGGGCCATAGTGCGGCTGGAAGGATTAGGTAAATTGAAATAATACACTTAATCGCGACTCGAAACCACGACCTTCCGGTTTGTAGCATAGTGTCTCAACCAACTACGCCACCGCGTGCCCCCGATATGTATTTGTGAGGCCATAAATTAATTTCTAAATAATACTGTGACGAACGTGGCCATTGCTGGACAACGTTTCGGTAAAAACGTTCCCGTTGTAACCAATATACGCAGTAACAGACGAACTGTTCGAGGTAGTGATCTCTCTTCGGTTCACTCTGAGTTATAAAAGAGAGTTCATTCGTAAATTCATGAATTCATTCGTAAGGGAGTCGTAATTCAGATGTAACAAAGTTCAGTGTTCAGCTGTGGGGTGCTAACCAGGGGACAGCGAAAGCTGAAGAAGTGTCGCATCAGCACATCAGAACCAAGTCAGTCACGCAGAAGAGAAGACACTCGTAGTCCAGCAAGGGGTGGAGCGAGTCTAGGCTGTCACAGATTGTGAGCTGTCATAATTGAATGTAATTGTAAACAAGGAGTCAATAAATCCAATCATGGAACCCAGAACCCGTTATTATTAGTCATGAATCCACGGGCAGATAAATTTTAGGCGTAAAATGACAAGAATCACATGAAAAATACCATTATTCTGATTTCTCTTTACAGTTTGAAGCAAAATCGAAATGATACAAAAACTTCTGCGCAGAAACATTGCATATTTTTCTCATACACGATTAACCTTTATAACGTCACTGTGGGAACAAAATCGATACACACTAGACCACTGTTTGCTACTGACTACCGAACAAAAATTAAATTCTTCCGACGAACAATGTCGCTTTTTATACGCAAAGTGAGAAGGCTACCTCAAAAAAACGAAAACGAAAGCTGTCTGGCGGACCTCAGTTAACCATTGATTAAACTACAAACTGGGAAATATACGCGTTGGATAAACATTTAGGCTTGTAGTGCGTGTTCGTTATTTTCCTGAAGATACCAACTATACAGCTGTGTGGGAACTGCCCACATTCAAGCAAGTGTAACAACGCAAGCGTCATTGCTTAGCAACAACGAGTAAACAACGGTTGCTAGGCAAAAGCGAGTAAACAGCGGTTGCTAGGGAACTTGTAAACACGGTATCTGGCAACAGCAGTACCTATTACGTAACCGTTGTTTACACGTTGTTGCTAAGCAACGACGCTTGCGTTGTTACACTTGCTTGAATGTGGGCAGTTCCCACACAGCTTTATCCAGATAGACGGTTTTCATAAAATACTGAATTTAATCAAAATCCTAAGAACATTTTTCGAAACAACAGTCATTTTATTTTGGGGAGCCAATTCAAAGGGCCCCTATTTATGGCTCTTAGAGTATTCAGTGAGTAAAGACTTAAGATGGATAAACTGTGAAACAGAATACAAATACAAACCGTCCAACCATTCACATGCTAGCGAGGCGGCGAGGCGGACACTCAAGTGTGCACACATACACACACACACACACACACACACAAATACTATGGCATATTCTCTTAAAGCAAGAACTGTGGAACCAGAGAAAGAGCCTTCGCTAGCGAAAGGCTCTGAAACAACATTCTAGTCAACGGCCTCCAAGCAGACAAAGAAACAACGTCCGTTGGTAGGCAGCACATTTTTAAGAGGCAAGAATAGACGGCTGCTGATAGAGAACGGCTCAGTAAACACGTTCCGCGGCAACGGTTACACACGAAACAGAGGAACGGCGTTTTCTACGTGGTCCGTTTCGAGCTTATATAAGCACGGGACAAAGTTAGATCTTGGTCAGTCTGTGAAGAGAAGACCCAGTTAGTTGCCAGAGTGCTCAGCTGAAAGTCAGTCTGAAGAGAAAACTAGGAGATTAGTGTGAAATAGCCGCCAGCCTTGGAGCTAGCCAGTTGATAGTTTTGTACGGTAGTCTGTGAAGAAAAGAGGCAGCTGGAAGAGAGCTGCTATTCAGAGAGAACTTGAATGCAGCGGAAGTCGAAGAATCTCCACTGTTAGAAGCCGTTGCCAGGGAACGGCTGGTGAAGACACAGAGGGCTTTAAAATGCCTAGAGGGTGCTAAGGTGATCTGTGAATTGTGGAGATTAGCGGTGGCACAGTAATTGTTTGTAGTCCGAATCGTGTGTATAAGTACTCAATAAATGCAATAGCCAATCCAAAACCCCGCCGAGAGCCACTCTAGCACGCGACAATACACACACACACACACACACACAAATATATATATATACAGACATGAGACAGCACTCCAAAAATATCTTCTTTTTTAGGTGAACTGAAAACTTATAGATCCGTCAAATTTTTTCTCCGTCATCACATTTCCTAATGTACTCATATGTTATGTACGTGATAAAGTATACAGCCCAAGATGCGCTAATCACACAGGTTAGATACAAAGACAAAACTCTGTGGTTTTAGTACGCAAACGAATTTTACCGACCGATCGACCTGCTATACCGCCTGACGGTTTTCGTAATTCACTTCAGTCCCTCCAGGTAAAGGCTAGGTTAATATCTCGATTAGTCAACGAACACTTTGTTACAAACGTTTTTCAATATATCATACATCTGCCTACTCTCCCACCATTCGACACCATTTAATCTGTGATAATATAACCGTCGGAAAACAGACGTCAAGAAAAAGATGAAGCGACGACACGGCACGACACAGAAGTGAGGAAACACTGATTTTGGGACAAGCCTCAGGGATGGGTTACACTGAGAGATGTCTGACGTATGCTGATGACGATAATCATACCTGACACTACGGTAACAAAACCCAACGTTCAACGTCGTTAATACCAAAGCCCCGTTATAAGATACGATCATAAGGCAGTTTCACAAAGCTCACATCCTCAGAACCTGTTTTCTCACAGAGCAGTCTGAGTCACTAACTCTCTGATAGATCACGAAGATTTATCACCGCTAACTTCGGTCCCCACTGCCAGATATGATCCTCAGAAAATCCAGTTCAGTAGGAATCAACTTAATATTATCCTTCTAGCTCCATCTCACTCTTCTAAGCGGACATATCCCCACAGATGTGCCGTAACAACCACAGCAACAATAAACACGGCGTCAGAGTTCCGTATTTATAACAGACACTGGGGTATAAAGTGAGAGATTTTCACATTCCCAGTATCGGATGTGAATGGTCAGTGTTCAACTTTACGCTCCTCTCGCCTTAGCCCAGTAAAAAATACTTCCAATATTCCATAATACATCAGTAGAATAATGCATCAACCACAGAGGGAAATTATGTACTGTCCGTCTCACATTAAGATTCATGTACGTTGACGGTACGTACAAACGCCTGCCATATCGACCATCTCCTCCTCAGGATTTAAGCATCAGCGGAGTGCTTCGTCTGATCAATGAAGCGAGCAGGAAGGTAACCCTCTCTGTCTCTTTTTTTCTTTTTTGAATGGGGGCCCAGACCAGTTGGCGGGAGATGGTTTCCATGACAACCATCCCCTCTCCATCTTTATATTTTTTTTATAAGTAGAGGTGGAGTCCTGCACAGCGCATGCGTGGTGCTCTATACTATAACAAGACTGTGGATCAGGTAAGAGTCTGCAGTCTTGTTACTTGCTCGGTGCCAGTTTCGTTAGCTGGTAGGTTAGGACAGTTTCTGTACACGGTGAAGCCGACAAACTTACACCCTGTCCCTACAGCGGAAGTACTGCAAGATCTGTGCCCTACGGTTTCGGAATTCTGCGTCCGGTGACGTCTTCTGTCTTACCAACCTTAGCCCTCTCCAGTACCAGAAATATCATACAGTATTTCTAAAAGCATTATATATTTTTAATTTGTGTCACAGTTTATAGATTGATTATATATTTGCAATTCTTTCCACGATAAATTACGGACAAGAAACTTCGTGTATAGTTCATTAACAAGGTTGTGCAATTAAATTTGTGAAGTCACAAATTTTGGTTAACACCGTAAAGATAGAAAGATTTAAAATTTTTTAAAGTCTGGAAATATTACTCATCATTCTATTTCCTAACATTCCTATCTTTATGATCATAACAAGTTTGAAAAAAATGTGTAAAATTAGTGTCGATCTGAGAAAATTCAGTACCCTGCTATTGCCCATTCACTTCTTTTAAATGATTAAAATTCTAAATTGTATTTACTACAGCCTTACAAAATATAAAAACAGTTCGGACGTCACAGAAAACACAAATTGTATTAACCTGTTCTTTATCTATCTAGCGTTCGACCCATCATCATGCATGCACAAGTTGGCCTATAAGAAGAGTCGCAGTTGCTGAACGGTTAGGTTTCATGGGGTTTCGTTTTGACATAAACGTCAAGAGCTTATTAAAGGATCTCAATAGATCTTGAAATACAGTAAATCCTCGAATTTCAAATTAAAATCCAGCTTTACATAAGAACATTGCGCTGACATGTAATTTATTTAGTAGGAAGTTTATTTTTCATTGGCTCATACCTTCAGGCGAAGAACTACTTATTCTGATAAAGTACTTCAAAATAATTTATTATAATTGTTACGCTTTCGAAGTCATTGTGTTTGGAATGACAAAGATACTGCACCGCGTGTGATCGAGTGTATTTAGTATTCTGGTCTCTTTGAAGAAGAAGGAAGAAGTACATAAGACGTTACAGCATGATTTGCGTAAATCAGCATTCATATTAATTCAGCTGTCATATTATTAACGCTGCCCTACTGACTGATAAAACTTAAAATTTATATGCTTAGTAAGACATAGATATTTAACCTGTTTCGTCAAAGGGAAAGGTAGACCGACGGCGCACTCCAGAGTTGTGAAGCAGTTGCACCGGAATACAAACGCATTACGCAATGTGAAAGTCAGATACACCTCAGATGCGACCTTCATTTATTGAACTTTACCTGGAGCTGTTTAGCACGTGCACTCCGGCAACCCTCCTGACACCACAGTACAGCGGGACGGACTGCAGAACAGGTGCTCTCCGCTAACTACTTAAAGCAGGTAAGTAATAATTCCAAATGTGGTTCAATCCTCTAAAACATGGCGGTTACTCTATGTAGTACCCGCTTTAGCACTTTTAGACTTGCTGTACCGCCCCCCCCCCAGAGCGTATTTGTGTCTTCCGATTATTTTGAGGCTCATGACAATGTCCGCGCGGTCTAAAGCACGAAATGTCTTCTCCCGCTCAAGCACTGCGATCGTGGGTTTGAATCCCACTCGAGGCATGAATGTTTGTCTATGTTTCTCCGTGTTTATGTTGGCCTTGTGTTGGGCTGATCCCCCGTCCAAGCAGTCCTACCTACTGTTTACAACATTCACAATTTCATAAGTGATTTTGTAGGTGGCCAGGCCAAGGAGCCTAATCCATCAAAGTAGAAGAGTCAGATTATTTCACGAATCTGCATCAACTGATTTGTCTATGATCTTATTTAGGTGTGCTTCTGAGTAACAATGTAGGCCTCCCGATTCAAATTCCACAAAATGAGCCCCTCTTTCTGAGGGGGCCACCACATTATCTTCCCAAAGTATGTAATATGTTGTTAATCAAAGAACAAAGATTTCGTTCCTTTTGTTTCAAGCAACAGATTCTAACCATTCTAACTTGTTCATTTTCATACCCCCTTTAACAGAAAGAAGAAGTGTGTAGCCTGGAAACCTAACAAAGTGATGCTTTTCCACCCACCCCCCACACATACAAATCATTGATTTTCCAACAGTTCTAAGTGCGCTGATGTTCTGAATAGTTTTTATATTACAAATTGGTATATCTGGCATCTTTGACATCTGTCAGTAATGCGACTAGACAGGGAGGCAGTAATTCTATTCCTAGTAGAAGGACAAAAAGATGTTCTCATTATCGCCACGTCCAGAATCACTGTGGCCCAGCCGGTCTGCTGCGTGACAGGGCCCACGATGTAGGTAGGACAAGCTATAAACCCACCTGCTTCCGTGTCGAAACGTAGTAAGCTTCCTGCTGCTCCTTCTATACACTTTCGCGGTGCATTTAGACAGAAGAAGAATGTAATGAGTACCACTACAGATATGCCCTGTATATTGCAATTAGGAAATAAATTCATGTCTGATTAATATGAAATTTTTGTTTTACGAAGTTGTCAGTATCTCAGACTATACAGTGTCGAATGATAAGATGATTGGTGAATAATTAATTGGAAAGGATTTGAAAGGAAGTGATCGTGACCTTTTCGTTGTACGATTCACGCGTATGCTTGGAGAACTGAGTAAAATTGCGTAAAACCTCAATTAGTATAGCTTGGATGCCGGCAAAGATTCGAACCAAGGATTGCTCAAATGCAAGTCCAGAGGGTCACCGCTATCACAACCCCGCTTTCTTTGCGCATGCGCCACGCGATGGAGACGTATGTATGCTTATTCATGATTCATTCAACAACGCTGTTATTAGCTCCGAAAACAGGATGATCAGTGAATACAGAAATGGAAATGATTTGGAAGGAAGGAAGCATGGGTCCAATCTGATGAGCCATCCTACTAATTTCCTGAAGGGGTCTGAGGAAAACCATGCAATGCTTTAGTAATGATAGCCGGTATGCATCCCAGATCGGAACGTGAGACCTATATAATTCGAAAGACTGCTAATTACCCGACCCATATGCTCGGTAAGAAGTATGGAGACGTGAATGTCAGGCTCCTTGCTATCTGCATCTCGGTATTGCATAAAGGTAGGTGGCCAGTTCCGCCTCTCCGGTCTCTTGACCCTTTGTGTGATTTGTGTGAACCTCAAGCCGCAACAGACGAAGTAGAGAATAGAAGAGATATCCCTCTCGAGATTCGAACCGCGATCATCCATTACGTATCAACGTACTTCGCTATTATGACCCGTAATATCAAAATACATGCAGGCGGTAGCGTAGTTGGTTGAGGCACTATGCTATAAGCCACAAGGTCGAGGGATTGAATCCCGATGATCTGGATTTTTTTTTTCATTTTAACTAATCAATGCAGCCGCACCATAACCCTGGGGTCAACCCGGCCTCTAACAGAAAAGTACCAGGAATATTCCTGGGGGTAAAAGGTGGCGGGCGGTTAAGGCTGACAACCTCACCACCATCTGTGAGCCAACTGTCTAGATAGTGTGGGACCCTCAACATCTCACAACCCTACGGGCCTTCATGGCCTGTTACCTTTTACCACCTTTGAAGGTAAGGTAAATTAAGCATCATGCCATGAAGACATATGGGAAAGTGTAGGTATTCTTGACATCGGCACTAGATGGAGAGGAGTGGTTAGCATCACGCCCTGGCCGCTTAACCCCCCGCCCCGGTAAACTCGATAGAAGGCTCGGTGGGGCCCGTGACAGTGTGGACGCCGTGGAGAACAGAAAAATCTTGACCCTGCAGGCAATTGAACCCCGACCATCCAGTCGCTTGCTATAAAACTGAGCTATCCAGACTCAACTTTTGAAGCAGGAACACAAATTGCAAACTCCAAGGTAAAGACATTAACTTGTAAAATATAATTACAATTAATATGTTGCTGGACATTATCCATCATCTTGTCTGTTCTTAAAAAAACCGTCTAGTTTCTATTAAAAACACAACGTTTCGGGAACTGGAATCTGTCCCCGTCTTCAGGTAAAATCTACTCAGTTGGGTCCAATAGACAGAGCTAGCCCCTATCTCCGGACAACTATGCCAGTTTTAGAAGGGATTCATAAAACAAGCACAACATAATCCATCTGTGAGAGCTAAGAGATATTGAAGCTATCATATTTGAGGCTTAGCACCAGAGAAATATCTAGAATGAAATCATACCGGGAGAGAAGCAATACTCCTTGTGGTACACAAGCACTTTTAGATCTTATATGTAAAATATAAGTTTGGAATGGAGAAATCTACATCGGAAGGAGATTTGGGGTTCATAATTCTCTTCTGTTACGTATAGAATTTGTTCCTATTACAGCATATAGCAATAGCTGTACTTTAAAGGGATAATCATCTTTGGCAGAACCGGTTTGAATGGCTACCTTCTGAAAGCGAGATTCTGTAATATTGCATCCATATTTATTTCGCTCAGAGCTGGGAAGCATATAAAGTAATTCAACACTTATCCTAGTCTTCGGGAGCCAGGATGGCTCAGTCGGTATGGCGACTGGCTATAGGCTGAACGGCTGAGGGTTTGAAATTCAATTCCCGATAACGGAAATATTTTCCCATCGCCACAGCTTCCAGACCGGCTCTGGGTCTCACCCAGCCTCCTATCCAGTGTGCCGGGGGCTCTAAATAGTGCCCAGGTTAAGAAAATGTGGATTTATACATCCATTACCCCATACGTCTTCAAGAAATAGAGCTTAATTACTTAAGCACAAGGACGGTTTTATCTCTTTGTATTAAACACTTTGCTATAAACACGTTAAATTTGAATTTGAGTTTCGAATAAAAACAGGGGCAGTTACACTGGAAATGAAACGGCAGAAATTAAATTTAGATCCAGTAGCAAATTCAATCGATATACGTTCATAATAAGCTCATATTTATGGATTCAAATTGTAACACAAAACAAATTTATGATTCCAAGGTTTCTGGAATTAATTGACGAAAGGAATAATTATTATTTGTAGCAGTCATAGTATGAATATGAACACAAGAAAACACGAAGAGAGAGAGATAATTAGTTGTCTACTATTTAAATATCACATACCATACTAGATATCGGGAAACCTGCGTACAACAAGAACATGATTTGAGGTGCTCACAACCTTCACTTTATTGTCCTCTGGGATGTGACGCCTTAATAGCGTAAGTCGCACGGCTTACTTTTCTACCCTGAAGGTGGAGGCAGAAGGTTCCTCCGAAATGTTGTAATTATCTACCATATGCTGGGGTGGAAACTGATCAATTGAAGCGGTGTCATTTTTAAATACCGCTTCTACTGGTTCGCTTTCATTGCCAGCCACTGTCCTTCCTTCCCCCCCTCACTGAAGACTTCCTTTACAGCTATAATTGGGTCTATTATACTTTCCTGATGATGGAGGGAGGAGACTACTCCAAATGTTAGTATCTAACAGATAACATGGAGTCGCCTTCCAGGAGACAGTGTTCGAGATTTTTACAAGGTTAGAACTTCAGAATTATGGTCTTATATTTATGAAAAACCGATGTTTATTCCTTCTTCACAAATTTTAATTTATTTTACTTTTCAACTATTGAAGAATCGAAGTATGTATTACTTAATTTATTTGCGTAAGAATTCATGACATTTGACTTTTCTACAATAATAGATTTTCGTATTTTGTTTGACAAGAAACAATGGGGCAAAAATTCGGAACTAAGGAAAGAAACTAAAGGAAAATAAAGTAAAAAATGTAAATCTATCCCTGTAACAGGCCGCGTAGGCCCATAGAGTTGTGAGTCGTCGAGGCTCCCACATTTTGTAGACAACCAACTCACAGCTGGCTGTGAGGTTGTCAGCCTTTATCCCCCCGCCCCCTCCCCATGATGATTCCTCTTACTCATTTATGTTAAAGGGTGAGTCGACCCTAGGGAGATAGCATGGCTGGATGGATTAGGTCAATTCAAAATCAAATGCTCTCATCACGAACTGAACCCGCGACCTTCCGGCTTGTAGCAAAGTGCCCCAACCAAAGTAAGCATAAAATTAGAGCTTCCTTCTGCCAAAGAAAGAACAGAGAGATGGGTAGGAACTGCTGAGCTGTTTACCCTCCTCCCAGCAAGTAGAATTATTCCTCCGAAACGTCAGTAACCGCCAAGATGTGTTAACCCAGAAGACCAGTCCGGAGATGAAGAACGCTGACTAATTCAATACTTCGTTCAGGTGTCTCTGAAAGGTGAAGGCACTTACAAACCGAAGTTCATATGGGTGCATCTCACGCGAAGCTAAGTTCTGTTCTTCTCTTAAAGTGTCTAATGGTTCCGTTTTAAAGGATGGGATTAACGAATTGAGGCAGGTAATGGAAGTCCGTGGCATAGATAAACGTTCATCACTTCTCACGATTTCTCGAGGAA